AAACCAAACCTGACAGGGAAAGAAAGATAGGGAAAGAAAGATAATCCAATTATCACAAAGCAAATAACGCATCCCACAGATCAACGTATCTTTTTTCTTTATATATATATATATAAAAAATAAAGGTGCTCAAACAAACTACAGCAATATGATGACCGTACGTTCTATTCATCGAAGACGGAGCAGAGCGTACACACGAAGTGCCAAAGAATAAAGGGCAGAGAAAGAGTCAACGGGTGGACACGACGATGCCTCCTTCCAATTCTCTCTTTTCCATCTCCTGTTCGTTTCCATCCTTTGAGTCTCGCCGCACGGCACATGAAACGAAAACGAAAAACGAGTGCATCTGCCCACGAAAGGTGGCAAAATACACTCGTTACTATTTATAGCAAACCGATGAACCTGGCCATTTTCTGCAGGAAGATGCACTCGTTCGTTTTTCGTTTCGTGTCCCGTGCGGCGACGCCCTTTTCCATTTCCTATTTCTTTCCCTCCTTCGCTTCTGTTACCACTTCATTCGCTCGCAGCACATGATGAAGTGCCTACGGACGAAGTGCATGTCCGGATACGCACACGTGATGAAGTGCATACGGACGAAGTGCATGTCCGGATACACACATGACGTCGAAGCTGTGATGGATGACGAAGAACATGACCGCATGCACAACACATGCACAACACATGCACGACGTCGAAGGCACAATGAACCAAAGGGCACGAACGTGCGGCCTGAACACCGTCGAAGGCGATGGATGACAACGTACAGGACCGTGTGCACAGCACACACAAGAGCAATTGACTTCGTTTTTCTTTCCTTCTCTTTGCCTTTTCACGCACTCACCTGCTTCATGGGATAGCGGCGCGTTGGTTTAGTTAGTGATTGGCAAAACAGGTTGGTTGGTTGGGGAGCGGCTGGCTGATTGCAGTTGGCTGATTACTTGGTTCCATTGAGTGGTTGATTATTGATTCATTGTTTAGCATGTTAACTTCTGCCATTGAGTGGTTGGTTGATTGATTGATTGATTGATTGATGAAATTGTTCTCTGTCTAGGAGCTGTCTGCCTGGGATGATTACTGTCTGACTACTCGGGTTACTCGCTTTCGTAATTGGGCCGGTTGACTTATTTGTTGATTACTCGATTTACTAATTGGTTGATTACTCGATTACTTACTTGGTTGATTACTCGATTGATTAATTGGTTGTTTACTCGATTGATTAATTGGTTGATTAATTGCTTGTTTACTCGATTGATTAATTGGTCGATTACTCAATTGATTAATTGGTTGATTAATCGGTTGACGAATTGGCTGGTTAATTGGATCGTATGAGTATGTCAACTGGAGGGGGCCCATAGCTGATCTTCATAATGTCACTTCACATCGCTGAACAGCCCAACGCTTTCTGGAAGCTTCTGGAAATGACACGGCTGTACATGACCTATACTTTTTACTCATGGTAGACACGAGGTAGGGAGGGGGTCGCATCCACATTCTTGTTTTATGTAGGTAGGAGGCGTCTTTCCCTTGTCCAGTTCCTCCATCAGTCGCCTCCGGCGCAAAGCAGCAGTTATGATCGAGTGATCCGACGGTCGACCGAATCTGATTCGTTGATCGGGGTCGGGAGACCGAGGGGTTGAGATATAATCTTTCAACCAACACACACAGGGGAGATGGAGAAAGCTAATGAAGGGGCGGAAGGGGGGCTGGGCGAGAGACGGGGGGGAGGGGAGGGGAGAAAACGGACAAGAGAGAGGCTCCATGTGGCAAGCTGCTGTGTGATTGCGCGCGATTTTTATAACTCTTCCGACAGGCCGGCCGTCAAATGGTACTGACAAGCAGCTGCAGCTGTTTCTAGACGGATCATGATTTTGAACCCTCACATAAATGATAAATGATGTATACAAAAAAAAAAAGTCGGGAGGGGCTTGATTATACAGCCCCTGCCTTCAACAACAACAAGAAGCATGGGAAGGAAGGATCATCTCGGAAACTCGCGGCTATTTCAGCACAATCAGGGCCAATCCTTCTCCCCCACCCTCTTCTCCTACCTACCACCCTCATCTTGAAAACCTTCCCCTACGCTACTGCTACTGCCAGTCTTTCACCGAGCACGCCCCCTCCAGAGGGAGCAGGGCGGTCGAGCTATCTCCACCTCCTTGCCTCCCCCAAACGTACAGACAGTCTATTAACTCCTACTCACGCCGGCTAAACAAACCAATCAAGCGATTGATTGGTCTATTAAGATCTTGTATCACTCAACCAATCAAGCCATCGATGATTGGTCTGTTGGTTTTCTGTCAATCTCCGGGGATGCATGCATAACCAACCAAGAGTGTTCGTCTCCAACGTGTCATCACGCGCGGCATACTTGCGGCGTTTTCCCAATCGATTGCGACTGTCCTCCGCGTAGGTACGTCAGCGCTCCTCGTCATCGCTCTCCGCTGATACGTTGCTGGTGTTCTCCCCCCCTCCTCTCCCTCTTCGCCTCTTTCGAGCAGGCCAATCCCCCCGCTTTTCTTTTCTCGCCAAAACGTGTCCCCAATCTCCCCCCGTTTCTTTTCCCGCCAAAACTTGTCCCCAATCCCCCCCCGTCTCTTTTCCCGCCAAAACTTGTCCCCGGCTGCCGTCAGCCATTCTTTCGCACCTGGTCATCGTCATTCCCCAGCCGCATACAACGTGTCCCCCATCCTTCTTCCCCCCGTCTTTGTCTTTCTGCTTCTCCCCCGCACCTCCCCTAGTTTTGGCAGCGTTTGCCGCCATCACCCCGGCGTTCCCCGTCATCGCGCAAGCGTTCCCCGCCATCCCGCCGCAAACGTGGCCTTCCGTTGGCTCCGACACAGGCGCATAGGTCTCTTCCCTGCCGTTTTCCTGCCAACCTTCCCCCCTCTTGAGCCTCTTCCTCCTCTGATCATACTCTTGCTCCATCGCAGACGACTCCTTCGCCGCTGGCAGAGCAATCTCCCCGTCGTTATCTCGTTCGAGTCCCCAAACTTGCATCTCTCTCAGCCGCTTAGCAAGGCGAGCGAAAGCAGATCCCGGCCGCCGATCACCCCATCCCTCCTCCGCTTGAGTCGCGACCCTTCTCCTCACGATCGACGGCTTGTCATCCTCCTCGCTACCTCCTCGTCGACAACGCTTGCCCGTCTTCTCCCCCATCCTTCCGCCATAGCTATTCCACCCCGAAGCTTCGCTCTCCATTGGCACAGCAGTAGCACCATCATGCATTTCTTCAACTTCCTGCCGTATGCATGCCCTCTTCGCCTTCCTCCTCCCCAGCACGCACGTCTCCTCTTCCGCACCATCGCTCGTCCTTCGCCGGCGCCGCAGCATACGTTTCCTCTCATCGCAATCGTCACCTGCAACCCCCTCCTCCTCCTCCTCCTCCTCCTCCTCCTCCTCCCCATCCTCTCTGTCCGTCTCCTCTCCGTCGATTGCGCGCTCCTCAACGCGAGCACCCTCGCCGCCTACCTGCCTTCTCTTCACCCCACCTTCAACCACGTCACTGCCCGACCACCTCCGCTTACAACTCCTCACCTTCAATCCATCGACAGGGTAGTTTGTTCCCGAGTCGACGAAAGCCGCCGCCGCATCACCCAGAGAGCCCGACTCCGCCGCTGCCGGACCATCCATGTCCTGCTCATTGCCTCTACGATATTTACAGAATCCACCGACGTCTGGTTCGTCATCATCCCGCCTCTTCCTCTTCTTCTCCACGGGCTCTAAAGAGTGCCTCCAGGTGGACTCTCCACACCCCCTCCCTCGCGCTTCGTCCTTCTCCGCCCACCTCCTCACACCATTCGCAAAATGCTGCGCCGCATGACCCGATACCGGCCGCCTCCGCCACCGCCGCCGCCGCGGCCACTCCATCGACTCCCTTTCACTCGCAGGAGCATCCGCGGCGTCTCCTGATGTCTCTGCTACGTTCCCGTCCTCACGGACATCCTTCATTGTCTTCCTCTTCTTTGTCCTCCGCGCCCCCTCTCCCATAGAAGGCCTGCCAAAGCGATCTTGGGGGCCAATTTCACCAAGCTCACCTGGAGATGGCCCATGCCCATGAACACCAGCTCCCGTCCCGTCTTCTTCCTCAGTTTCGTCCTCCTCCTCAGCTTCTTTCCATTCCACGCCATCGCCAGCGACACCACAAGAAGGGGGCCAGGTCGGGAATCCCACGAGCTTCTTTCGTTTCTTTCTTCCTGCCATGAAAACTTGCGGCTTGGCGGCAGCGGATGCACAGCCGCCGCCGCCGCCGTCATGGACAACAGATGCAGGACCTCCTTTCGCCATAGCCGCCTTCACAGCGTTCACACTCAGAGAAGACGGCAGAAGCACAGACACAGAACCTGCTGAAGCGGGACAAACTCACAGACCGCAGAACCGCAAGCGAGAAAGATCGAGGCAACTAACAAACACTCAGCGCTGGCGAATGCTGTTAGCAGCGTTTTCTTTTTATAGGTGCCGGAAACGCCTCACTCTTTCGATTAGAGCGCGTCTTCTTTAGCTGCCGGAAGCTAGCCTCGCTCGCTCGATTAGAGCGTCTTCTTTAGCTGCCGGAAGCTAGCCTCGCTCGCTCGATTAGACAGACAAAGTTACCTAGCTCTACAGCAACTACTTCTCTCCTCCGTTCTCCTAGCCGCGTGTGTGAAGACTCAAAACGTACAAATCACCACGCCTCCTCTCGCCTGAACTTGTAGCTCAACTATTATATTACTACTGTCGGTAAGATCGCGATAACGATGTTTAATATTGTCAGTGTACTGCAACGCCAATCAATCATGTTGCTGCTGTCATGGCTCCTCTGTACATGGAGCAAAGCCATGTATGATTCCTCTCATTCATGCTTTCCCGTCGGCCTGAGCAGCGTCATGGTATCCATCCTGCCTTCTTCCTGTGCGATTACTGGTAATCCGCCGCCAAACGGGCAATTGAAGTGCCCCGATGATCGCCCAAGCACGAGGCTTGCATAACGGTTACAGCAACCGATACCTACATGCGGCTGCGACCGAATGACCATCTCAGAGCATACGAACACTGAGGCATTCTTGACCCGTCTCTGGACGGAACTACGGTCAGATGCATGCGGAGGAAGCTCGACTTTCGGTTAGATACGCCCACAAAAGCAGTTGTTGCTCGTATGCCCTCATCCGGAACGGGGAAAGTTGCTGTGGTAGTCTTTGGAAAAGGGCAAATTGACAGAGTTGTCCACACCGCGCCATCATCCAAGCAAAGCGACTTTTTGTATTCGCAACGAATACAAGTGACCCGTTTCTTGCGCAGCGCCGTTGGGGCGAGTCTCCTGATAGAACCACCGCCCTTTGGGGACCCGAACTGCAATCTTACCCTATTTGATCTCCATCTGATATCGACCGTTGGATTACCCTACAATACAAGGCACCCCGGCGCCGAGCAAGACGAGCGTGTTCACAAGCCGCAGGCTTGGCGGCCTTCCTGGGGAAATCAACGACCAGAATCGTGCAAGTGGGACCTTGCCCCGGGTGACTCTGGAGCACGCGGCTCGGCGGCCTTTTTCCGTGCGGCTGTTGAGAAACCCCCCCGCAGGAGCCGTTACTTGGATCGACCGTTGCGCTTGCTTTGCGGTTCGAGCCATCCGAAGCGCCACCTGTTCTGTTCGCCAGTAAATAAATTGCCGGCCGAGATTGCCAGTTGTTAGAACACGTAGAGGAAGCGGGGGAACGAGCTGCGTGGAGGTTCGGGCTACGGTAGGTTCAGCGTTCTTGCGGACAACCAAGGTCCCAAAGGGTTTTCCCTGAAGTATAGGTAAGTGCGACGATGAAATTTACGAAGAGGCGCCTCGTCATCGTCACACGGTAGATAAGTCAGTTGGTAAGGCTCGCAAGTGCAAGTGGCATTCAGGAGGTCGTGGGGTCAATCCCCATGGGCCTCACGTACCTTCCGGGACATGATTGGCGCCCGCCACCTAGAGATAGAACACTGGATCCCCCGATCCGCATTGAGAAGAGTCTGCTGATGTTCGTAGGGGAGGGGACCTGAGGGGAGGCACAGGGATTGGTTCTGATGGAATGGTCCCTGATGCGACCGGCCGTCCCCTAGCCGGTATCGCCCACCTGCAGGTAGGGAGCAGCCCCCGCATGTTCTCGTGAACACGGTTCTGGCTGCTACGGGGTTCGCCGTATGCCTACAATTAGGTGTAATAGTAGGAAGCTAGTGTGAGGTGATTTTTTATTATTTTTTTTATTTTTTTTTAATGTTCTTCTCTCAATTTCACCTCACACTACCTACCTACCACTACTCCTAATTGTAGGCATACGGGGAACCCCGTAGCAGCCGGAACCGTGTTCACGAGAGAACATGCGGGGTTCACCTCACACTACCTACCTACCACTACTAATTGTAGGCATACGAGGAACCACGTAGCAGCCGGAACCGTGTTCACGAGAGAACATGCGGGGGCTGCTCCCGACCTGCAAGTGGGCGATACAGGCTAGGGGACAGCCAGTAGCATCAGGGACCATGCCAACAGGACCGATCCCTGTGCCTCCCCTTAGGTCCCCTCCCCTACGAACATCAGCAGACTCTGCTCAATGCCGATCGGGGGATCCAGTGGTCTATCTCTAGGTGGCGGGCACCAAGCATGCCCAGGAAGGTACATGAGGCCAATGGGGATTGAACCCACGACCTCCTGAATGCCACTTGCGTGCCTTACCAGTTGAGTTAGGCTGCTGGATATGTGAGGTGAAATTGAGAAAAGAATATAGCTTTGGAAAAAAAAAAGAAAAAAAAAAGAAAAAAAAAAAGATTGTACTCCACGATTCCACGGGGGGCAAAATTCGGCATACATGCATTGTACCGTTTTGGGGGGGGATTCTTGGCGAACGATACCATCCCCTGTAGTCGTGGGGGCTGATCCAACACGGTGTCAGGCGACCACAAGCAGTGCGCCGCCTGAAATCTGGGGTTTTGGGTCTTAGGCTCAAAGACAAGTCCGTATTTTGACGGTGCTCCGAGTAGACCAGGCAGCAAAAATTAGGGGAGCTCAGGGCACCCCTGATTTTGGGCGCGCTGAACTTTACGAGCAACCCTCAAAGACGACGAGATGAGTGGCCGCACTAGGCGCGACCGGGGCCGAAATGAAGCCTCAAATTTTTGCCCATATTAGTACCACAATTAAAGATGGGGAAAAAGGATCAAGGCCAGAAGTGGAGGAAGGAAAAATACAATATCCCTTAATTTCTTTATTTTTTGCGGCATTTGATTCTAGGGGGAATATCCTTGTTATTTTGTGTTCCCGGCAGAGAAATTAAAAACAAAGAAAAAGATTAAACATGAAAAAAGAGGAAAGAAACAAAAAAAATTCGGCCATTTATTTCAACTTTCTCGGAATTTAATTTTGGGGAATTTACGGTTAATTTGCTATTTCCGACAATAGAATTAAGGAGAAGGAATAATAATAAAAAAAAAAAAAAACGATGAAAGGGGCGGGAACCCACGACTATTGAGAGATTGGCCTTATTTCGCCTTGAATACCCGCCGTCAGCACTGACCCTTGATTGATCATTTTCCTCGGATTCTAACAATTTTCACTTCTGCTGATGGTCGAGGAATCCTGCGACGCTTTCCCTGTTGCTTGAATACTAACGTTGCCACAGTTGGGGTGTTCTGAGAGCGGGAGTCGCATGGACCACATGGGGTGGTGCTACCTTGGGTAGAGAGTATAGGATGTGGCTTGGTACGAGTAAGGGGGTTCAAAGAGATTATACACTGTTATGGAGTGGTTGCATCCTACGGAGTCCGGGGTGTTTCTGGTTCGGTATGGGCACGGCGACCCTGGGGACGCAGCGGTGATCTATGTTTAGGACCAGAACCCCTACGACAATTTATTTCAGGTTTGGAGCCAGCCACGGTCCGGAACCGCTGTGCCGTCATATTTCAGGGTCGGCGTTGGTTTGGCACATCCCACGATAACATTTTCACGCTCGGCAGCACTACGGAGGCTTATTTCAAGTACGGGATTTTGACAGCAGTTATTCCCGAATCGGCGCCATCACGGGTACTTATTTCACGTTCGGCGCTACCACGGTAGTTTGTTTCAGGATTGAGGCCATTACCGAGACATATTGCGGGCACTGTAGTAATTCATTTCCAGGGCCGGAACCGGTACGACAGTTGCTTCGGGTTCAACATCAGTTTATTTCGGACTCGCTCCTGCCGTGATACCTCGTTTCAGCTTCGGTGCCGTTACCGTGACTTATACTCAGGTTTGGGACACTGCGGCGATTTATTACCTGGCCGCGGCCACTACAGCAATTTATGACAGGGTTGGAACTTTAACATCTTGGCTGCACGGTCCTGAGATGGCGTGATACAGCAGCCCAGCTCTGCTCTTCAGCTTCGGTCAGACTCGGCACCAGAGCGGTGCAGGCTATTCAGGTTCGGGATAGTACGGCATGTTGCTCGCCCCTATGTGGCAGCAGGTCCGTGGTCCCTATTTCTCCATGATTGTTTGAGTCCGGCCTCGGAACCAGCGGAATCGGCTACTGCAGTGGGGACAGACATTCAGGCGCAACTGACCAGCGGATTAACTGAGAACTAGCCCGACTGTGACGTGCCTGGGACTTAAGGGCCTTGGTACTACGACACCCATCTGTTGGCTCGAGGGCGGTGCTCACGTACCACCCGCATTGAGCCTGTGCTGAGCCTGGTGCCGATGGTCTCGACTGTACAAGCAAATGCTGAATGAATATAGGGCCGGACAGAGGAGAAAGGGGGACAGTGTGCAAGGCGTACCCGCGATACCGGGCTCAGGGTAGAAACATCGATGCGCAGACTGTTGCACGGGGGATGAGGGGAGAGGACTGATGGATGGCATGCCAGGCGTACCCGACGCACAGCTGTTGTGGAGCATTGCAAGCACGGGGAAGACGCGTTGGCGCTCAGGCGATTACTTGCGTGTGAGAGGGAGAGTGAGAGAGAAGGGGACTGCACAGCGGGAGTGAGAGACTGCGTGTGAGAGGGAGAGTGAGAGAGAAGGGGACTGCACA